TACTTGCAGTCCACGGCCGTTGTTTTTAATGAACAGTTCTACGCAGAAAAATGTGGTATTTGTATTGGTTCTTAAGTGGCACCTGTTTTGTGTGACATTTATCTTTCTGCCATGGACAAGCGCATATCGAGGAATCTTGACGGGATAATTGTGGTCAAGATCTTCCGCTATGTGGATGATTTTTTGGTTCTTTTGGAGGAATGTACAGCAAATTGTATGGAAAATGACGTGGTAGAAATTGTTAATCTGTTTAGGTCACTGTCCGGCGTACTGAACTTCACTTGGGAAATGCCTAATGATGGCAGTATTCAGTTTCTAGATTTACAGCTCTTTTTTACTAAGGATCATTTGTGCTAAAGTTATAATCCACGAACTAAGAAAAGCCTTCTTTCTTTTAGCAGCGCCCACTCAAAGCTCGTAAAGCGGGGCATTGCAGACACCTGTCTTCACGCAGCCATTACAAAAAGCTGCCAGCATAGACTGTCGGTCAGCTTTGATCAGCAGGTTGCACGTTTGACGAGGGCCGGTTACCCGAAGAGCGTAGTGACAAATGTGTGTGAAAGGCTCTTACAGAAAATAAACGAGAGGATGTTGAATAAAGTCGTGAAAAGACAGACAAGATGCCAGTGCAGGTGATACCATATTTGCACCAAAGTGTCCCACAATTTAAAAAAGATGGCTGTTAAACTAAGGGTTAACGTAGTCTTCTCAGCCCTGTGCAAATTTTCAGATATGCTCCGCGATGACGAAACGAAAGTTTGTGGTGTGCTCAAAAGAACGTGTAACAAAATACACCGAATACTTGACTAATATGGTTTATGAGATTCATTTTCGTTGCGGTCAAGTTTACATCAGTCAGACCGGCCGATGCTTTAATGAAAGAGCGCGCGAACACAAGCTTGCCGTACGCAATAATTCGGGTGGTCATCTTGCAGAGCACTGCAAACGATGTGGGTGCGAACCTTTGTTTGAGCGCACAAGGTTTATCAAGAAAGGGAATGAAAAAATGGAAAGAGAACTAATCGAAGTTTTCTGTATACACAAAGCGGCTAACAGATGCGTAAGCGTGCCATCTCTTTATCTGTTAACCAGATAAATTGTGTTTCTCGAAGGATGTGTATACCGAGCGATAAGAATGTTTATCAGTTGCACGTGTTTAGGCAATTGGGATCGAGTTGGACGATGATTCGTGTTTCAATAAATCAGTTAGAAGTTGGCGCCTGTCCGTGTCGTACGTGTGTCTTTTTCGTCCTGTTTGTTCGCGCCTTTTAACCTTTTAATTGACAATTTAATAATTCGGCTATATTGGTATCTTATTTTAGTTGCTTAAGGGTAAAAAAAAGTGTCCAGCTTTGGTGTAACATAGACGAGTAACGCACGGGCAGACACAGCAATTTTTTGTGTAAAAAAAGTTACACAATAATTTTAGCTTTTTTGGAAACATATAATTTATTACTCCTGAAAGATTACAGAAAAAATAGTATTTGAACTGCAGCGAACGTTACAGCATTGAAAAAAAGTGATTGAGGCGTTAAAAATTCACAATAAAATGTAATTGATTACACGTAATCAGCTACTTGTAACTCGTTACGTACAAGTCTGGTCAGAAGAAACTTTCAAGGTAGTCTAAGCATTGAAAAGTTTATGCATTCTTATTCTCAGTCACCTTCATTTATCATAATACAGAGTTTTAGAATAGGGGGCCCCAAACTCTTTGGGAGACCCAAAGCGTCGAGGCCCCTTATTTTAAAATTATTGCTTCACGAGGACTAGCGTACGAATTTCTCGAGACGGCAGCGAAAACGTTGGATAATGTGACCTTCTATTTTACTTTTATCTGCAGCATTTCTTAATTTGTCTGTAGCTGCCTTCTAAAAGGCAGCGTTCTCTTCATCTGTATTTAGAGTCAATCTTACATTTGTAGTGCCATCTGCAAACTCGCGCATTTAGGACACAGAAACCCTGTGCAACAAGGGCACAGTTGACGAAAGCAATATTGCCATACTCCGTTTCAGCTTAAGTCCAGACGCAGACGACGCTACGAGCTAAGGGGACCAATCAGGCTGTGTGAAAAGCGCAAGTCACTGGCCTTTCTTTTTTTATGCTTAATTGGTTCAGCGATAATAAAGCGCGTACATAAACATGACAAACACTACAATGATGCGTGAATTTATATGGTGTCAGTATACTTCGGAATCAATAGTTTGCTACAGTGTCAGGTGTCTTTCTAATGGACTGTTCACACGATGCATCTTTTAGGCGCGCAACAGTTTCGCGGCACTCAAGTTTCGCGAAATGTGCTCGTTCACACGTACCGCTTCACGTGCAACAACGATGACGTTTAGACTCGCGAAAATAGTTTGGGTGTTGACCATAAAGTGGCGCTTCAGTTGAAAGCCAACATCATCATCATCACCATTAGCCATTCAGCGTCGTGTTCTCCATCTCCCGCCACATTCTAAAAACCGAAGCACCTTCTGCCTGCGATTCCATCGAACCAGCGGCAGCTCCGCCGCCGCTGGTTCGAACACTCCTCCGTCCCCGCACCGTCCCGTTTTCGGCACGGCGCCCACGGCGCTTTCGCCGGGACGGGGCCAGACGCCGGCTGTGTGAATGAGGCCTAATTGTCTTCGTCCATCGCTGGATTTTTTTCCGATATGTTACTCACTTTTCCTTCAGTGGTGTTTGTCGTACTTGCGGAAGCGCCGGCAGTATCCATCGTTCGGGGTTTCGTGTTTTTTCGGATTTGGCTCGGCCACAACACCGGCAGTGAAGTGGTCTTCTTGAACAGCTCGCTCCCCCCTCAAAGGCTACGTGAGAGCGTTTCTGAGCGGCCATTAGCGGCGCCCTCAGAGTGATTGACAGGACTCGGCGAAGTTTCAGCAAAAGCTCGCTCCATAAGGGAGGTGTGCGCGCAACTTTTTTTAGATGCGCGCGTCCTTTTCCGGACTCGTTCAGACAGCGCAACCATTTCGCGAAACAACGTTTCGCGACACTAGATGCGCGAAAAAAATGCATCGTGTGAACGGGCCTTAATAAAGTAAGAAAACGCAATTGCTCGAAACCGAAACCGGACTGGGGAAAAAGAAATATGGAGGGAAAAGTTACCAGAAATCACGTGGCTACACCCGACTGCTTTTTGGGGGGATCGGTGGCCGAGTGGTCCAACGCACACTAAAGGCGCACACCAGCTCGGAGCACGTGGAGCGAAAGCTCGGGCAGCAAAACCCAGGATCCTGGGTTCAATCCCCACCCCTGCCCGCTTCGATCTGGATGAGCATCGTACCGGCGTGCGGTCGTGTATCACTTCTGCGTGGTGCACGTTAAAGACTCCAGGCTAACGGTTGCACCGCACTGGCTAAATTTCTCATCTACAGCTGAGACACGAGACGCCCACTGAGGCAGACTAACTTTCGGCTGTATAAACATACATACAACAATTTGCTTGCTTTTGCCAAACTGGTTTTTTTTTTTTTTTTTTTTTTTTTTGTGACAATTAGACGAACAATCCGCACGAAGCACGTCGATTTTGACGTTCTGGTATTTTTCAAGCTCCTATTCGTGTTCGTAAGACGAATGATGTGTTCAGCCAGGAGAAGGGGTGACGACTCGGCGACGTCTTCGGGCGAATCAGCTTGGTGGTCGGCCGTGTCGTACGGAATAAATCCGAATTGTTTTGATAGGTAAGCGATTGCTCTTCCAAAGCCAGACAGATTCGCCGGTACCGGGAATAACAGTTGTGAAGTCGAGGTTCCACGCCCGTCGTCCGCCGCCATCGCTTAAGCGCGAGACACATGGACGGCAGAATCTTCCGATCCGACGTCCGATCCGACAGTCCGAACGCCGCTCCGAATTGCCGCACGCGACAGTTTGAGACACACGCTTCCGACCTTGCATGCGACACGACGATCCGTTCGGCTCCGCCCAGGAGATCCAAGCACCCCAGCGGAGGTCCGCGTTCATAGATCTCTGGTCTTAGATTGACGGTTTAGCTTGCACAAGCGTGCGTTCTTTGCCGGGGTCATCTTTCTCGAATGGGTCGGCGGGATCCACGCGTCCGGCTTCCCCTCGCCCGTCCCGTTATCGCGTTCGCTTCGTCCCCGCCAGACCCAGTGCGTCATCATGACGTTCGCGCTAGCTGTGCTGTCATTGGCTGGACGCATCCGACAATCCGTCCGCCGTGCGAAACTATCTGGCGCGTTGGACGCACGTCGGATCGCCGATCCGACGTCTGATGCGACCAAATTTTTCGGATCAGGCAGTCGTATTGCCGGATCGGACGTCGGATCGGATGGTTTTTTCGCGCATGTGTCTCGCGCTTTATCCCGCTTCCGTCAGCCGTCCAGCCCACGACTCCCGCGATACATCGCCGTGTTGAGAATTACGCTGAGAATGCACGCTTCCGGTTCTCTGTGCGAGTTTTTTTTTTCTTTTTCAGTCAACGCATTTGCATTTTTTCAGAAGCCACAAAAAATTAGTATCATGTTTTTTTTTATATTTTTAATAACGAGTGTGGTGCCTTCGATGACCCACGACTTCGACTTTATTTGGTGGTTTTGTCTAAACCACACGTGACCACGGAGAAGACAGTGAGCTCGAGTCAAACCTGCCAGTTCTCGAGCAGAAAGAAAGCGAATTTCGAGCCGCAAATTGTATTCTGGATAGTTGGGTTCTCATATGTCATGTACAAATAAAAACCTTGGCGAGCATAAATACCCTGTCAGTGTACCTTTAAGGTGAAACCAAGTATAGCTAGCCTTAATTTACTGTCTTTTCAACGAGCCATTTTATATTTGTTTGTTTGTTTATATATTAACGGGGATTAAACGTGTATATTTCCTTGTTTTTTGTTGTTTTTATTTGCCTTAACTAAACAGTCAAAGCAAATTGTACTTTTGTGTTTCATTTTTTTTTTTCACCGAGGTCCTATAGCTTTCGAACCACGTGAATTCACAAACAGACACAAAACTATTTTCATGGCGTTTATTGCTACCAACACCTCCACCGGAAATGGTGTAGCCATCTCAGTCGCTCTTGACAGACAGGTGAGGGCCACGTTTGCCCCTGGCAGCCGGCTGATCGCCAGAACCGTGCAGGTGATCATCGACGGGGTCAAGGGATCGCAGGTGACAACTGTATCCGTACATCCTCGAGAGCACAAGAGCCTGCGTCCGTCCAAAGAAACTCTCATTTTTACTGTCGAATTCGACTAACTATTTTAGACTTCAATCAATCAATTAGCGTTTAATGCAGTTTGAAACACAAACTGAGGGTGGCGAGGAAAAAGCTGTGTCGTCCACTGCGTTTTGAGATTTAAGACTTGAGATTACTAGCTTAATAAAAAAAATAAGAAAGAAACGTGTTTTTTTTTTTTTTTTTTTTTTTCGCCTTGAAGACCGTTTAGCGATTGGTATGCGGCAAGAACCTGAGGGAGAGGAGGAGCCGAGAGAGCGCGGGGACGTCCAAACGCCGAGCACTGGGTTGGCTCCGATTGGAATGGTTAGGGGGCAGACCTAAAGTTATACACGAACTCATCTCTTTTACGTCACGGCGCGGTGGTGGCGCGTCGGTCGCACTTCCGGTCTGGAACTGTGGGCAGAAGTCCCCATGCCAGACGTGTATTCCTGCGTTGTTATGAAAGGAACCAGACAAAAACCTGCCTTCTCGTCAAAACATCGCAACTGGGGCCGTACCAAAAGTGTCGAGAAAAGTTTGAAGGTCGGTTTTCACGTGCTCGGATCGTCCGAGGATGTGGATATGTGCCGTGAAAAGGGAAAAGCAGACGCCGTCGGACAACTATTGCTTGGGCGGGAAGCACTTTGGGTTGAATTCACGGATACTTGTAATCATCAGATTTATTTGTTTTCTTCCAACATGACCGCGAAAAAACCGTCAAGTTGTGCGGACCACCTGCGGATTACGTTCAGTGCGTCTTCAAGTTCAAACGGCCTTCTGATCGTTCGAACTGTCGTCTGCTCTTTCAAACGTTTCTGCTTGTCGTCTGCTCTCTTAGACGACGCCGGCCCGTAGACCAAATGTTGTCCCGGTACTTGCGATAAGAAGTAAGTGCAGGCCTCAAAAGATTTAAATTTGAAGGTTGGTAAGCAGGCTTGATGTAAACAGTAGATACATGAAGATGTTGATCATTGCTACCAGTGCCCATCACCGACTTGTTATGCCTAATTCACTTGGTCCGATTCTGCTTGCGATTTTCAGTATCGACGTCGACCATCTCAGCTACGGTTCACGTTTTTGCAACCCGAGCGGCGTCGCGACTGAAAATTGCGAGCGAAATCTCATCATGCGAATCAAGCATTAGCGTACATACTGCGGCGTCCACGCGGAATGAATCGCCAGATGTCACATTATCCACGCGAAGTTTTGCGGTGTAACGAGCCTCGGTAATTTCGCTGACGCCGCTCAAGATAGTCAGACATCGCCAGGAAGATGTAGAATCAACAATTCGAACGCGAAAAAGGGCAGGGGGACTCACACCGACGCCGACAACATCGCATTTCAATGGATTGTTTATGGGCAACGGCGACCTTCTTGCCTACACCCCCATCGCGCATGCGCGGCGCCGGTGGCGTCCGCTAGGGGCGCTCCGGTTTGTTTGTAAACATGAGTTGGTGTATAGTTTGTTTCACTGAAAGTTCAGACGCGGCGGACGCTACGAGCGGATGGGACCAATCAGAGAGCGTCAAAAGCGCACCATCATGGAGTTCGTCATATTTCTGTACATGTTCTATCATCGCTGAACCGATCGTAAACAAAAAAGGCCCTGTGACTTAGGCGCTGTTTGATTGGTGCCACTACCTCGTAACGTCGGCGGCTGCGTCTGGACTTAAGCTGAAACGAAGTATAGCTGTCTTCATCTCTACTGCACTCGTGAAACGCGTTAGAACAAGGAACGCCGGCATCCAACGTTTGGCTCTCGCATTTGAACGCGTTTGACGAGTGCAGTGGAGACAAAGGCTGTTAACTTTAGGTCTACCCACTAATCATTGCAACCAGAGCTTGAGGTTTTAACGTCCCCGCGCGCACTCTCGTCTCCTCCTCTCCCTAAGTTCCTCGGCGGATTAAGAGAAGCATGGGTACTCATTCGTATTCTAAGTTCTAAGCGTTTTGGGGCGGGGGGGGGGGGGGGGGGGGGGACATTGGGGCCCCTACTTAAACAGGCATCTTATGAATTAACAACTTATTTGAAAATAAAAGCTCATTTTGACTTGGCTTCACTGTGCGCCGAGAAAGCACGGAAGAGGAGGACACGAGACCGCGCGAGAACGTCGGGGTCGGCTAGCTAGAACAGCCGCGCGAGCGTCTTGAGACGGGGTTTGAGTTCCGCCCAGCTCGTGCGCTGGCTTTGGCGGTGCATCCCTTTCCCCAGTCTCAGCTGAGACGCTGTCTCTAGCAAGCCGGCCCAGAACGCCGAGCTGTGGTTAGTATGATTAGTGGTTAAACCTAAATCTCTATGCCATTCTCTTCAATGCACTCGTCGAACGTGCTAGAACACGGAACACCGGCGTTCTGCGTTTTAGCACGTTCGACGAGAGCCGTAGACACAAAGGCAGCTAGCCTTAGGTTTACGCACTAATCGCACCAAGCAGAACTCCACGTTCTGACGTCCTCGCGCTCTCACGTGTCCTCCTCTTCCTAAGTTTCTCGGCGCATAGTCACTGACGATGTGAGAACGACAGAGAACTTCAGTTGTCCCTCCTCCAAAACGAGCTTCCTCTCGCGACAACACTTCGGTGTCTCGTGCACCTCGAGTGGGCGTGCGCAGTCAAAACACGGCGGAAGGAATGGTGCGCCCGCTCGAGTCTGGGTCACGTGGGCTGGGTACCTCAAAGTCAGGCCTCGCTGTTTACACTCCATCAGGGACTTTACGGCGAGAAATTGAGGGAGAGAAGCAGACGAGAGTGCACGGGGAGCTCAGAACGCCGAGCTCTGATAGAAATGATAAGCGGATAGACGAGAAGCTTGCTGTTGTTGTCTCTCGTCCCTCTTCGAACGCATTTTAACACCAAACGCCGGCGTCCATGCGTTCGACGTTCGCGTTCGAGCGCGTTCGAACCAGTCGTTCCAACCAGAGCTCGGTGTTCTGACGTCCGCGCATGCTCTCGTCTCCTCCTCTCCCTCAATTTCTCGCAGCTTCTTTTACTTGAACTGAACTTCGAAGCGAACGTTAGCACAATTAACTTCGAAGTATCGTCATCTTCTTGACTTTTATACGTTTAATGAAGAATGTGGTCGAACACCAGACTTTGCTAAGGGCTTAACCCTTGATACCTGCAAGCCCGCCATTCATCACAGAAAATTACTTTCATGTTAGCCCCTAAACAACTTTAAAGAAAAAAAAAATTGTGATTTTTTCGTTTTTTTTTTGTTTGTTGTTGCGTTTGTTGTTTTTATTTATTTATTTTTATTTTTTTTTCTTGCTAAATATGGGGGGGGGGGGGGGGGGCAACATTTATATTTCGCTCCAAAATTAAACTCAACAAAATTAATTAACAAAAAAAAAAACGATGTACGGTACCTCGACAAAGAGCCAGAACGTGGCGCTGGCAATCCTCGTAGACGGTGAAAACTGAATGGGAGATGAAATCCAATGTTTGCGACATTTGGTCTTGATAGCAGATACTCGATTGCTTCTCGTCTTTACAAGAAAGCGTTTATTTGTCATCACGGGTGTAACCAGGTGAACAAGGAAAAAGGAGAAACAGAAAGGACAACTGACCGCTGGACTACCAACTGTTTTAATAATTCGTCCTCTTACTCTACTAGTTTTTAAGCGTATTCAGTGGCGTAGCTAGGCAATCCGGCCCCCGGGTTCCTTATGTTTTTTGCAGCCCCCCTCAACACCCCCCCCCCCCCCCCCCCCGCTTTTAACTCTTCGAGATCGCAACCAAACAGTAAAGCGGGGGGGGGGGGGGGGGGGGGCATGTGCTGCCAGAGGTGGCTGTGCCACGTGACTGGGACGCCTGGTACCCGCCCCCCCCCCCCCCCCCCCGCGGCTCCTACGTGCCACTGTGCGTATCCCTTTGCTTCTGCTTTTTTTCTTTATCGTGTACCATGTTGCCCCCTTCCTTCTACTTATATTGAGCAAGAAGGGCGCCCTGCAGAAAGAGATTTTCTTGAAGTTTCAGGGTTATTGAAGCGGAGCTTGACAGCTCCCTTGCTAGCTAGTCCTTATGCCGCCTTATGATGCGTGCTTGCTCAAGCTTTGCTCTCTATTTGCAAGTTCGACAATGGGCAGCGAGGTGTCCTGGTCTTGCGAGGTTTTTTATGTAACGCCCGGTCTGTCCAATATAGCAGCGCGCACACATCAACGGTATATTGTAAACGATTCCTTTTTTGGCGCAGACGTAGTTTGTCCTGTGCCTAGCTGGTGTCACACCTATGCTTCTTGTCGGTTTGTGCCTGATTGATCTTGCGGCATAAGGAATAAGCCTTATTGGGGGCCGAGCGAAGAAATTGTACGTTTTGCCGGTTCGCTATCTCTTTCAATTTGTGGGTGGCCTCTTGAATATACGAGACCACTGCATAGGGCTTCTTGGATTTCCTCGCTGGTTCTTCACGGTAGACATTGTTCCTCTTGATGGTGCGGCATATTTTTTTTTCAAAAATGGAAGCCAGTGAGGATCTTGGGTACCCGGCATTGTGAAGTCGGGGACTTTCAGTATCAAGGCTTTGTTGGACTTGATGGGGGCAGGTCTTTTTTAGGCTTGCGGAGAGGGCTACGATGGCCACTCCTTGTTTAACATTTTTTTAATGTTCGGATTTATAGGAAAGAAACTCTTCCCATCGTGCTTGGTATTGCCAACAGACATGCCCTGCTTGAACTTCCAACGCCAAATCAAGAAACCGAATTGATTTATCCACTGGAGTTTCAAGGGTAAAGGTGAGGCCCATGTAGCTTTTTGGGAATTGTGTTAAGGTGGTTTGAAGGCAGCCATCGGGTTGGTCATTGACTTCTGTGGTGCAAAAAATAAGAGAATCGTCCACAAACCTAAAACTAATCTCTATGCGCGTGCATCTCGCATGGCTTTCTGGATGGCTTGTCCACACTTCGCAAGGAGGATTTCGCATACATGCGGAGCCACTTGAGAGGCAATGCAAACACCGCTCTTTTGCAAATATTGGTGATCTTGATGGGCCGCTACAGTCGCTGACAGGTAGAATCTGAAGATATCCAAGAAAGCGCTCAAGCTCATGCCTGCGGAGTTTTGGAATTTAGCGACACCTTTTTCTTCGATGGTGGCTTGGAGAACATGTATGAGGCTTGCTTGCGGGATGGAGTGATACATGTCCTCCGCATCAATAGAAAAACCAGAAGCGATAAGGTGCCCTTGATCTTGAAGGAAGGAATTAAAATGTTCCGCGTGTGGTATACGGAAAGGGTCTTCAATTTGTACGTTGGAGATATATTGTGCCAAAAACTTCGACATGCGTGCCTGCCACGTGGTTCTTTCTGATACGATGGCCCGGAATGAAACTCCTTCTTTATGAGTTTGGCTAAAAAGAACACTGATAGTAGGTCATTTTTGCGGCTCTAATCTTAGCTTCGTCAAGCAATCTGAGGATGGCTTGTTTTGCTGCTTTGGTTTGTTTTTTCTCAACAGGGATAAAATTCCTGGTCATGGCCTGGTGGCCTTTCTCTCCATATGTGTCGGATGCTAGGACCACGGATCCTCCTTGCTTGTCTGAAACGCATAGCATTAGTTGTTTGCACCACAGCTCTTGTATAATGGGTCCAAAGTTCATTTTTGCCTGAACTTGGTGGTTTAAGCCAGCAAAGACTTGAATTCCCTTATCAATGATTTGTGTCTTCGGTCTCGTGGGACTTTTGCGGCTATTTGGTGTATAATGTTAGCTTGTCTACAGACTCAAGCTTGGGTACTACGGCATATTTGGGCCCTTTTTCAAGCACCTGTTTTGCTCTGGTTGATATAAGAACGTCCCCTATCACCTGGAGCGGACTTCTTTTCACAGTTGTTATACCTTGCCGACGCAGTTCGAGATGATCACGCCATATTGGGAGACACTCCTTTATTCAGAGGCGTTTTGTTGTGTTTTGTTCATTGTCATATGATTGAAAAACGCGTTGTGGGTGGAACATTGGACAAAGAAATCCCTGGATATGGATAAATGAACATTGGCTAAATAAAAAAAAACGAAGCAAAGGGATACGCATAAGAACAAGTAAAAGAGGAAAATAATTTATTAAAATAGGTGGTAGTCCAGCGGTCAGTTGTCTTTTCTGTTTGTCCTTCCTTTCTTGTTCAGCTGGTTCCACCCGTGATGTATAATAAGTTAATAACCTACTAGCTCAGCTCATCCGGTTGTGGTTTATTTGTCATTCTTGTGACAAACTGTATCCCGTTTCATCGCAAGGATATGACCTTGTTCGGCTTTTACAGCCCATGTACCGAACAAAGCGAGTCATGTTGTTCTCGCTGCAAAAACAAAGCAACGTATGACCGAGCGCTCCGACTCCGTCCGAATAAAACTTTTGAGATCTTCAGTTTTCAAATTTTTAGGAGTTCGGTGGGATCTTTCAAAATTTTCATTCACAAACCGCCGGATAGCCGAGGGCTCGAAATGAGGAAATCCAAGAGCGTCCTATTTTTCACTTGACATTTACTAAAGTTGACCTTAGATCTTGAATAAAAATAAGTCCACACACTTTTGTGTTTTGTTCTAGGAGAGTGCTCCATTCTGGCGGAGTATATACAGTTCCGCATAGTTTATGCTCGCAGCGTGAAAAACTACTTTCGCCTTTCTCATTTGGGCTTCCTGCACATGGCTTGGATGTGACTTAAGTTTGCAGTGCTGACAGAGATTGTAAACAGAATGCAGGCTGTATTTACCATATTTACTCGACTAATAGCCGCACTGTTTATGAAGAAAACCTGAGGGTTCGCTTTCCCGCGGAGCACGCGAATTGCCAATCACCGCGATGGAAAGCATGGTTCCAGCTGTTTACAGGACAGAGATAACGCCTTCGCGCGAAGATACCATCTGTGAAGGTTGCATTTGTATGGAGAATCGTGTTCTCGATCTAGTTATTCGCTATGTTATTTATGCGCAACGCGATGATTGGCTGTATAGGTGCTTTGCGGGAAAGTAGACACAAGGTCCTTGTTCATAAATAGTGCGGCTATTACTCGAGTAAATACGGTAAGTGTACTCATATATTTGTTATTTAACTGAAAAGGCTAAAGGTCTAATAAATTTTATTCTAAGTAAATTAAAAACTGCTCCCGTGCCCTTTAAACAAGTACTATATATAAACAATGTGTTGCCAGTTCAAGAAGATTTGCGTACAACATGGCACCCATATAAAACAAAATCGAATGTACTAACTCAGATGGAAACACCTTTGTCCGCGAGAGAAATACTTGCGTTTAAAATATTTCATTTTATTTATTAGTATCACATTTCATGCATTGGTATATATATATTTACCAATGAGTCAGACCTGATGACTGAGGCCATCATTAGGACTGATATGTCATAAAACTACACTAAATTTTTCGAAGCACGTTTACCCTCACACACACACACACACACGCATATATATATATATATATATATATATATATATATATATATATATATATATATATATATATATATATATATATGCCTCTGATTGGACACGTTTCGTTTTTTGTGCGTTAATAAGACAGATAAGAAACGCCAGAAAGCTATGGCGCAGTGGTGCAGTGGTTAGCACACCCGACCGGACATTGGGAGGCCCAGAGTTCAAATCGTGGATCCGCCGTTTTTTGGCTTTCGCAGGTCTGTAGAATCTTTGATTATTTGATTCATTGGATGAAGTACGGTTCATTCACTGCGTATGTTCGTTTATATATATATGGAACGGTGTATTTCATAACGTTTAAAAGATATACTTTTTAAGCACTGCTATATTACCAGTAACCACCGCAAAAAGTTAAAAACTTTTTATTCAACAACTTTACAAGCAACAGGAATGTTACCGTTTGGTTAGATGGCCTCATTACACGCAATATTTGAGCGGTATGAAGCGTTGAAAGCAATCTCTTTCCTAGAAAAAAAAAGGCACACGCCAGTCTTTCTGTCTTTTTTTTCCCCCTATGAAGAAAGATATCTTACTTTATAGAAATGTTTTTTTACTTGATGATTTCTAGGAAGGACAAGGGGGGGGGGGGGGGGAGGCAATCTTCCCTCCGCCCTTTTCTCCTTTCTTTAAGATACAAGTGGTTTAATAGAGCCAGGAATGGAATAGAAGTCGTATTTTCATGCAAGCAAGGGATGACGTTCCAACTGTTCTGAGTAGTTATTTATGTTTATTGCTTGCGTCAAAGTACCAGTTCACATGCTGGCGGATACGTTACTGAGTGCATTCCACTCGCAGTAGCTCATCCGCCAGCACGGCAGACGAAATCGCATCAGAGCACCATCTATCTATCGATCATTCCACTCTTTGCATGCGAACATAACTTCCTCAGCAACAAAACGATATCACCTCAGCTTCCCAACACCGATAAGGAAGCTGTTTGAATCTTATTTCGCTAAACTCCCCAGCAATGGTTTCTCTAC